ACCATCTTGGCCTGAATCATAATCATCAAATAACCGTATTTTATTTTTACGTATTTGATATGGACTTGAATTAATTAATGATAATCCAAAATTTGTTTTTGTTGTTGTTCGATTGGATTGTTTAAGTTGAGCATGATTTGTTGTTGTTAAATGAAAATCTAATGCATTAATTGGTTTTGGTCGACGCATCCATAATAATTTTGGTAAAACATTTAGAAATACTTGTCGTATCCACGGAGGCATTTGATGTGTTGATGGGGAACGAAAATGCATATTAAGAACAACAACAGTTACAAGAATCGATAATGTAACAAGAATCATTGTAAATAATACATATTTACCAATCAATGGTACAACAAGTGACGTTGGTGGAATGAGCTCAGCTAATAGTAAAAAAAATACAGTCAATGAAACTAGTATTGATATACATAGTGTCACTTTTTCACCAGAATCTGATGGTAAATAAAATGTTAGGACAGTTAAAAATGATATACCAACACATGGGATTATAAAATTAACCGTATGGAAAAGTACTTTACGACGAAGTATTATTAAAAATGTTATATCAGGATATGTATGTCGACAGCATGAATATTTTTGAACATTACGTTTAGCTGGAACTTCCATTATATCCCATTCAACTGAACGATAAAAATCAGCTAGATCAATTGCATATGGTATACCTATCAAAAACAAAAATAAAATATGTATCCAACCTTTAGATAATAAGAAACTATAAGCTTTTTATTGAACAAAATTTTCCTTACTAATATATACGAAATATAGTCACAGATTTAGTTTCGATAGGATAAAAGAAGTCTAGTGAATGTAATCGGTTCAGGATATCCTGCTACCCATATGTCAAAGGAATATTTGGGTACTTCACTACCAAAGTTAATAATTTCGGCAGCTTTCCGTTCGAAAAACTCGGAAAAATATTAGAGTCTTGGAAGCGGGAATCCTGTGATCGGATCTAATCACCAGATTCCTGCTTCCAAGTTCCAACCATTTTACTGGAATTCACTCTGGATTTCTTGATATCGATATCTTAGAGTACTTTGTGCGTTTTCAGCATGCGACTAGAAAATGTTTCTGAATGTTCAATTTACTCATTTGATGAAAAGTTTTCCATAGAATTCTATAGCAATTGAATAGGTACCGGATAAGTATCCAAGCAATGAGATAATAATCAGTAAAGTACAAAACCAAGATCCTGTGACATGCTGACAACAGATCACCTTGCTTACAATTGGCCCAGTACATGAATATCTTGAACTCAGTATATTCACTAGGAGCCATTGCATGAGAGACGCGCCTAAAATACGGACCACGCGCTCAATTGATATCACAGATTTCAATGAAATTTCGCCAGTATGTAGCCCTAAGTGAGATATGAAAACGCTAAAAATTTCAGCTTCTAAAATCGTTCTATTGTTGAGATATTCAAACTACAACAGAAGCATCTTCAGGTAAAAAATGATAGTAATCACATCAGTACTCATACATTATACATTTAAATGTATAATGTATGAGCACTGATGTGATTACTATCATTTTTTACCTGAAGATGCTTCTGTTGTAGTTTGAATATCTCAACAATAGAATGATTTTAGAAGCTGAAATTTTTAGCGTTTTCATATCTCACTTAGGGCTACATACTGGCGAGATTTCATTGAAATCTGTGACATCAATTGAGCGCGTGGTCCGTATTTTAGGCGTGTCTCTCATGCAATGGCTTCTAGGGAGGAGTTCATTTTATGTTTGTACTATATGAGTTTTCTTACTATTATTGCCATAAACAGGTATAAAACCATCTGTTTGATTGATATGAACAAGATCAACTTGTTCTCCTGAATATGTCCATGAGCCGAATGTCATTTGGCAATGTTGAATATCTAAATTCATAAAAATAAAATATAAAAATAATAAAACTTGCTATGTTTATCATGAACTATATTTAGATTCCCTCCACAGATATGAAATGATTTAGTTTCAGTCGCATAAACCTCGAAGCTACTACTTCTGATTCTATATAGGTAAATAAAATAAGATTTTATTTCTTGATTTCTTTGTTATAAAGTTTTATTCTCATATGTCAGCATCTATCAAGCACATTCGATCAACAATTGCTTTTCTCGACTGCTCTTTCCATCCATCCAGTTGTGACAGATTCTTTTTCGAGAAATAGCTTAATTGTTGAACAACACTGTCTTTACTTCTGATTGAATCATAGTTCAGGGACCAAAACGTATAAGAAGATGAAATGAAATATGTACACAGATGAAATACATCTCTATTGGGATTCTATCGAATCATGATAACTTCTGTCAGCTCTTGCCGGAATCATCTGCACTAGATCTTGCCACTTTCAGAGAATCAGAATTTAGTACGAAGAGACTTGTCGAATTTCTTCAAATCCTCTCTGATTCAGAACCTTGTTTCAAAAGCATCTGACTGAATCCGAGTATCAGATCCTGCATATGGAACACAGATGTCATACAGAATCGTGAAGAAACTTATAACACAGACAGCTATGGTTGAATGATTAAGATGTTTGACACACATCCACAAGGTACTGTGTTCGAACCTCGGCTTCATCAATCATAGAATGACCTTTGGCAGGTCACTAACGGTCGTTTTGTCTCGAATCACCCATCCGATAACAAATTGACTGCGTGGTCGACATACACTAAACGCACTTGTGCCTACTGAGTTATGCGGTTAGTCAGTATTAGATATGTTCGGGACTATGGCCAGAAAAAAATGTGGTCCCGCCCATGCAGAAAAAAACTGGACAAAATCTGATTTTTATTCATTTTTTTCTGATTAAAATCAATTAAATTTCTAAATAATCTCGATTTTCACCGTGATGAGCATAAAACGCATTTTTCTAGAGTTTTAAGTTGAAAACTCAGGTTTTTTATCGCTTTTTCGGACTCTTCTCCTCGGCAAATACCAAGGATGATGCCAGATCAATCTTTGACATATATACTATGCCTCAAGATTTAATATTATGTGATGCTTATTTATTAATCGAAAAAAAAACACGATATATTAGATTATAATCGATTTTTAGTCATAGAAAAATCGATTAAAACCAGATTTTTCCGATCTTTTTACATGTGTGATCATCTCTATCAAGAACATACTAGATTCAATTTGACTACGACCGACGCTGTCCAAAAGGAAGCTCTCGAGACCGGATGGGACCCAGACTACAACATTTTGGTCTCGTACATATCTATCGTCGACTAAAGAAATCGAAAAGTGGAGAATCGAAGAATTTTTATACGTGGGACCAATAAATTCTGCAATAGTTTTCTGTGAATCGAGAAAGACAATAGAAAAACTAAAATCACTGGGACCGGAACCAAAAACACTTGATCCCGCACATATCTAGTCCGTGTGTATGGTGAGCTTAAGTGATTAAGCGAGAGAACTTTGAGGCAGGCAGTCTTCTGTCCAGAGCTACATTTAGTAACAGATGTAGGAAAAATATGCGACTCTCGAAACTGTTCTCAGACAGCACCCTACACTACAAGGTAGTCGAAAGGCGGGGTATTCTTCTTCTTTGTAATACAAGCATCCGACCACCCATATATCCTTCACGTCCAATTTACTTCTATTCAAGTCTGTCTGGTTTCGACTGATCTCTCCCTTCTGTTTTATGCTGGACGTCCTTTATGAATACTCGCTATGAGCATCAGAAAACGATCATTTTCATTCCATACGAATTTCTACTAACCAAATGGAATGAATTCAACATTGATTGTACAACTTGACTTGTAAATTGCTGGTGGCTAAAAAAAGAAAAAGACAGACAAATAATTAAGCCCCCGCCCCCCTCAAAAAAAGTCGATTTTCGTCAAAAATTCCGAAATTGAGATAAATACATGGGGAGACAGCCCGTCTTCCGCTCTTTCAGAAATGCTATAGCTTTTTATCCCCAAACCCTTTTTTGGCTGAAAATCTTGAGGTTTTCTGTAAGTCCCTGCAGAAAAAAACGAATTTCAAGGTTTTTTTCTAAAAAGTAAATATTTTGATAGATTTTTAAAATATTTTTATAATTTTTATAGAAAAGTCAAATCTGTAACAGAAGAAAATAAGAAATAAACTGAATAATAAACATGTGGAAAGCTTTATTAAAAAACCTTTAATATGAAAAATTTTCAAGAGTGAAGAAAAGCAAAACAAAGAAAAGGCATCGCAAACGATGTGTTCTAGTGTAATCGATACATTTCATAAGAATTAGTCATTTGTTACACTATTTTTATCTTTTCTTTCTTTCTCTCTGATAACAATGACACATCATAAATGCTGGTTTATTATATAGCGATACAATATACTTGTAATAAGTGTCCTTTTCAGTAAACAAAAAAGAATGAGACAATGTATAGTTAATGTTAGCAGTACTTTTCCGAGCAAGTCGACCGTGAAACTGTCGGTACAAGTAAAATAATTTTTTTAATGATGTTCATCATGCCATACAAGGTTCTACTTATGCAAAATTGAAAATTATATAGATAATGTTAGTCAGTTTCTTGAAATAGACGAAAAAAATTGCTAAAAATGATAAAATATTGAAAAAAATTTTCGCAAAAATCTTTTTCGTTTTTTCTCAGTTTCCACTTTCTCAAAAGCGCATCCCAAATTTCTCCTTCCCGGTTCATTCAATGTTTTAATATTTTTGTTTGTTTGAAAGAGCATCTCAAGGTGCAGGGCATGATGCGGCCATTTTTTTAAAATTACGCCTTTGTTTGGTCAATATACAGCCAGTTATATGATTTGGTTACCATTTTTTGACACTTTTTTCAGTAATTAAACTTGTGACCCTTTTTTGCGCTTAAAAAGGGGCTATTTCAAAAAAACGGCCCCATCATGCCGTGCATCTTGAGATGCTCTTTCCAACCAAAAAAAAATATTAATATATTGAACGAACCAGGACCGAAAAATTTGGGATGCCAAATGAGTCATTTTTGACCCTTTTTTCGTTCGTATCTCCCTGAAACCTGAAGATTTTGGGCTGAAAATTTTATGGTAGTCTTCTGTTTCCAACCCCAACATATCCTGAAAGTTTCATCTAATTCGGACGTTCCTGGGCTGAAATAGATTTTTGAGGGGGGGGGGGGGGTCGTAAAACACCACAAGAGTTCTAAAT